CCCCCCCAAAAAAAATATGGATTATTTGTGGGTGATTCTTATAACTTCCTTCCAATTTTATTTTACAACAACATTTACAAAGCCTCTAATTCTCTCCCAAATTCTGTATGTTGCCTGAGGGAAGGTGACGGTGTCAGCTGGGAAATGTTGTTCTGGAAAGCAGGGGTACTAAGTGGTGCCCCTTAAAATTAAGCTGAGGGACAGCAAACTGCATTCCTAAAGTAGCATTCATAACAAAGAAAGCCAATGAAAGTGTGCTGAAGACACAGGAGTCCCACTGCCATAGCTACTAGGTACAACAGATAACTATCAAAGTCATCAAATCAGATATTAGTCTTGTCACCCTAGGTTTTGGCTGTTTAAACTCATTCTTCCTTCTTTCCCTTCTTCTTCTTTCTCATACCTTCTGTCTTCTCTTCTCTCTGTCGTTATAAGGAAACTTCTGCCAAAATGTACTTGTTGCAGTGGGGTCTGAAGCTGGGCAGATCTCATACAGAGAGTGTTTCTCAGTGTAGGACATCAGCATTGAGAGTGCTCTGCCAGTAGCTCTCCTTAGACACCTACAATTTCCAATTCCTGAGGTGAGGATCTGTGGAGCAACAGCTTAACAGTATATGATCTGAATGCAGCGTATAACAGTATTACTTTCCTTTCCAGAGTTAAGGGCTGTTGTATCTGGCTCATAATTTATAGTGCCAATAAAGTATCAAGGTGATTAGGGATGTCTTGAAAAAATCTGCTTGGTTGTTTACTTTCCCATAATAAATAGGGGGTTTTCTTTAAAAAAAAAAAAAAATAATAAAATTCATTAGTAGCTTTTTCATTGTGGCAAACAACAGACAAATAGGCTTTGCGTGTGAGTAGATGTACTTTAATGATAGTTTCGTACAAGGGCAGCTTAGATATGTTTCTAAAAATTAAAATTCTGATTTTTAACCTGTTACGCTTCTGCTAAAACATCCTATTTATTTATATCAAACACTGAGATACTGGCGGATTTCATAAGCCCTGAGAGTGGGAAATCAATTACATCTGCATTTTTATTTGAAAAAAAACACAAAGTGAAGAATTTTTAATAGCTTCTTCTGTATACAAAGTATTTTTATTTATTAAAAGTAAAGTAATATAATGACTCAAGTACATATCCTCTCTTTTCTTGGCTCTTGGCCACTGGGGGGCTGTGGTGTAGACACCCACACAGTCAAATG